AACTGTCTCCCCAATACAAACTCTACATTGGAAAATTCTCAAAAGTTTAATGAAACTCTCTATAAAGGAAGTTTGTTTGACTAAAATTAGCCCATTTTGACAATTATTTTTTTCTAAAATCGTTTTTCAAGATACTCATTTTCAATCATGCGTTCACACAATAAAATATTCTACGCGTAAACTCAAAATTGTTTTCCTACTTTTTAACCACACATTCTCTTAAAAATCACTATTCAAAACTCTGTTTTTCCCAAATAATGTTGTCAATAAGGGGCTTAATGAATGAACCTCATTTATAGGAAAATGGTATTACATCTTTCATATTCCAATCTTTTTCTTTTGCCATTTCATAAAGGACTTTCCTTTAAAAGAAAAAGAAGAAAGTAATCTGCTTTATACGAATGAGAAAGTTATATGATAGTCTTTTGCCTAGTAAGTAATATTCGATTTTTGGTCAATCTAGACTAGAAAAAGGTGCCCTTTACATGTAAGAAAATTTTATCACTCAAAGAGTGATGTATGCTAAAACCCCTACTTGAAATACCGTATTTAAAAAAAAAATTATAATCTTTCAAGAAAGCACAACCAAAATTCATTTTTACGTTAATATCGTCAAATTGAAGGTAACAATATCGTCAAATTGAATCTAAGGTCCTGATTGATAGACCCTTTTTTTTTTCCATGGAAAATAATTCCATTTTTTACTTTTATCATATTTGATGACACTTTTTTTTCCAAGAATTAGTTTTCTACATTTGACATCACGTAATTCCTTTACTTGGTTTTAGTTGAATTTCAATTCCCACATTTTAGGTGGTTTTTGGTTTTTCATCTTCATCTTCATCTTCTTCTTCCTTTTTTTTTTTTTTTGTTTTGCAATAGAAATAAATTTTATCCCCAATTGTGAAAAAAAATTATCCATTTAATTGATAATTTTCATATAAAATAAAGTCAAACGAAACACAAAAAAAATTTCAAATTTTTTTTTTGGACAATCCAAACAAATTATATCCTCAATCGTAAGAAATTTTATCCCTTTAATTGACA